TACACACAGCCCCACCCTCTCTATAAATGCAAGTCATCCACCCACAATGAATGCAACCAAGATCCTACATAAATGGATTGGTTAACTATTAAGACAAATCACGAAACAATCTCCCTTAAAGTTTAGAGAAATACAGAGTACATTATGGGTATTCCCCAATTCTCTGAAGAGGCAGATCTGTCTGGCACCTACTCCACGGTCTCATGGCTCATCACAAGGTTACCAACTGCATTATGTAGATGCAGATGGAGGTCATAGCTGACGTATCCCTATAACCCCCTTGTGTAGGCACCAGCTGCTCACCTTTCTAGCTCAGTAAGTTATTTGCACTCTGTAGTATTTCTTCCTTAGTTATACTAGGCATTCTAGATTATTTTATGAGCAAGGCAACTGTATGAGGTACACTCTTCCTGAACTCTGTCTAAGCAGTTTCTTCCCACCAACCTCAACTCTAACCATAAAAGCTGCCTTAAATTGTTCTTCTCCCCCTCCCAAGCCCCCTTCTGTCTTAGGTCAGTGAGGCAGAGGGAAAGAGACATGCTGGCTTCTGCCTTTAGAGCCATAAAGGACTCCAAAAGCACACTACCAATTTCAGATCACTGTGTTATCTGAAACCGTAGCTTTGATTTGTATATTCGCACTTGAAGACTTCGGCCTGTATCCAGCCAAGTTCTGCTTAGAGTAGACCCACTGAAATGAATGGACCAAAGTTAGCCATGTATTAATTTCAATGGGTCTACTCATAGAAAACAACCCTTTCAAATTTTGCTGTTGACTTACAAGGCCATTACAGAATTATATATAAAAAAAAAAGTCAGTTACATAGACATTAAAAAGGAGCAAGTACCTTTGTCAAGCGTGAGAATTCCAGACCGGTCTTCTACATTTATTAGGCCCACACCTATTAAACCCTGACGGACATCTAGGAAGAACAAAGGGAAGCTGTCATGGGTTCCATTCTTGCTGTTTACTAGTTTACTAAGGTAATTTAAGTACCATCAGTATTTGTGAAATGTAACCAAACCTTTGA